AAAAGCCAAAAACAGAAAAAATATCGAAGTTACCATTGAAGTTTTACATTGAGATAATCACAGAAATGGTATGTTTTGTCGTTTCATGTAGAATTTAGCCTTCACAAGCTAGCAGATTATTCACGGTGATCAGAGAAACAACAAAAAATCAGGAGTCGGTTCTCAGAAAGATGAGAATAACAGAAAGCAAAAAACAAAAACAAAAAAATGAACCTACTTCGGGTGCAATATTTGTACACTTGACATTTCTATACAAACCACACGAGACAAAATACGCAGACGTTTCTTCAAATAAGCTATGTCACTTTCCTGATTTCACGAACACAAAATGTTCATGTCACGTTTTATATTAAATGGATAATTGCGAATATTTCGCTTTTAAGGAGTTCTTTCAAATTTTTTTTTGTTGTACTCTGACTCCCAACAATTCAAGTCAAGGAAACACGAAATCACTTAAATTTATGTTTTGTTGTTTTTATCGTTGATTTGTAAATCCTCGAGCTTCTAGCTTATATTTACACCCTAATTAATAACGTTAGTAGAACGTTCGGGAATCTTCGAGGAATCAGATTATACAATGTTTGCTTACCTCACACGGAACTATTTCCTTCAATAAAAATAACCTTGTAGAAAAACACCAGTGTAAAACAGAAAGAAAGATGTGACAAATGAATGTTTGCTGAACATAAATAGTTTCAAAATTATGAAGGGAAAGCGGTCTACCACGCCAACCATGAAAATACCCCTCTGTTAACTACCAAAACAGTTTTCATCCTGCTCTACACTAGAGAAGCAAAATGCACTTGCAAATATTCAAGTGATCTCGGTTCATTTACTTCTTCTATATCAAGATATCTAAGTTCGAGAATTGGGTCACTTTCTTGCGATACTGTCGAAGTCATTTTTAGAATAGGATCGGATATATCGGCAGGGCCGCATTCGTATCTTAAGCATGACAAAATTACAGGACCCCTAAACTTATTGAAATATGGAAAAAACTTATGGAATTTTAATGAATATTAAATTTAACTTTTGCAAATAAGTATTTATAAAATAAGTATTTTACGTACTTACGAGAAAATATAAAACATAATGGTTAATTATCAGTGTCATTTCTAGCAATTTATCGACAGCATGACCCTGTGTATTGGAAGAGGTTAAGATGTGCAATTTAGAGCAAATCATGGCTTGGGTTTTGAGTCACAAGCGGCGTGTTTTTGAGGCCATATTTGAAGGACATATGTAAGAGACGTGATAGTATAAATAAACAAAATACTTTATGTTATGTGGGTAAGTTACAATGAAATATGAAAGAGACATATGCTACAAAGCTTAGATATAACATACGAACTGTTGAATGTTGCATTTCTTGTGTAATGAAACTCATATGCGGATGAAAATAAAAAGTCAGGCAGTGCCGTTTGGGATTCCCATTATAATAGCCGTTTTCATTGCTACGGAAACAAATTAATTGCTGCTCAGTGTAATTCAAAATGCATCTAAAAGAAAACAGTAAACATTGAGTTGTATAAATATTGGAGGTCTGTAAGAATGTTCTAAATCACAGTCAAGACAGTTTTAAACAATATCTTAGCGAATTAATAAGTACATTTACGATTGGACAAACCGGAATTTTACCAGTTGCCGTCAACGAAAGGCAAAACAGGGTAAAATTAAAAAGTTGAAGCATTGCACATTTCAAAGAACTTTCATGTAATCACGGCAAATTTCGTAATAAAGAAACAGGTTTTCGATTTTTTTGGAGAATTGCAGGAACATTTAAGTTTCTAATAGTGAAAATACATTCTATTTTCAAATAGGATCAAGATACTCAAAAAAAAATTCAGTTTAACCCTTTCTCCGACAAGAAAGAGCACGCTTAGACGCTGAAAGTTTTGAAGAACACAACCGCAGGGCAACGTTCAAGGCATAGATCCGAGTCTTATTTTCAGGACTATTTGATAACAAAGTCGTTTCGCCTGACCCGAGAAGCAAATTAGATTATTGGCCTGCTCCCCTCCAAAAGAAATTAGGACATGGTCTCGTCAAATTGGGCAACGCTGAACTGCCAGTCCGTCTGTCCTCTGCCGAATGGGCTTGGACGACCTCGGCGCCTGCCTCGTGTAAGTTGGCGTTTCCGCACAGCGAGGGAGCCAGCTCTTCCTGTACTGTTTCAGCTGAGAGTGTTCCTCGCTGGGCCGAGAAAAGTCGCTCAGCCACACTGAGGGAACAACCGCGGAAGGACAGGCGGCGGACTGCCGCACCGCCCTTCCAAGGAGTTTGAATAATAATGACGAGGCTGCAGATTTATAGGTACGATAAACTGTATAAGAAGGCAGACAAAATAGGCATTTAAATATGTAAAATATGCATTTAAAGGAGCACTATATACTTTTTTCTTATTATGTTCTTGGGTAGTAAGTGACTCAAATACGCATAGTATAGTTACCTTCATGGAATGTTTTCTTTCATCATTGTTCGGACAAATCCTCGTTAAAATCATTTCTTTTGTTGTTGGGCTATGTGGACAAAAAAGGCTGAAGCGCGGTAGATACCTTTTTGCTGTTTATTAAATGAAAGCTGATACTTGATTGCAACTAATTACTTACTTGCTTACTTAATTAACTTCAACAAAAATGAGACTTGCACCATTCTTTTAGTATCCCTTGTTCTACACGTGGAAAAAATTGAAGCAAATATTTGCAGTGGTGTTTGAGACATCGTTTTTATGCTCATTTTCATGAAATTTAAGCAGGAATTACGCAAAAACCAACCGTTTTCTAAAAAAACATTGTCATCCATGGTCTTCTTTAAAGATATTTTTAGAACATATTTAATTTAAGATAAACATCTCAGTATTCAAAATTGTACGTTTACCATGTTAACCTTTTGCAATTTTCGAAAATACAATGTTCGCGAAAAGTGGAACTGGCTTCAATTCGTACACCGTTTTTTGATACATACGAGAAGAAAATTTAAGCAAACTTTTATAGTCATTTTTAAGTTAAAAGTGTTTAAAAACTCGAAGTAGAAATAATTGCGATTTTGCACGTGTTTTATAATACAAAATACCCACACTGTAGAGGCAGTAAAACGGTACACATATTTAACGATAGTTGTTCGATTTCTATATAATGTCGTACAAACGAAAAAAGTACGATTATTAAAATTTTTGATTATCGATAATTACATTTTTACGAATAAATTTAAGAATATTAAACATTAAGACATTTAAACACAAAACAGGCATTTATTACTGAAAAAGGTATTTACAGGCTCTAGCCAATTCGCATATAATACTCCTAATGCCTCAAAATAAATGAGTAACCTAGTACAATAATGCGTTTTCCATTGAAGAAAAAATAGGCAAATAGGCAAAACTCCGCAGCTTAATAATGGCGCTGGTACCTCCGAGGATAGTATTTTCTTCGCTGGGGACGGTTGGAAATCACAAGCTGATTTCGACTAGTTTATTCTTAGTAGGGGGCGAAGGAAGGTTAAGCGATTGGTTCAATCTACAAGGGACTAGCGAAACCCGACTGACTTTGTTCTGCCCTTCATCACATTTTATCCAACCCTCTCCGTCTTTCTCTGTCCTTGACTCAATCTGACTAACTTTCTGTGTGTCTGTCTGTCTGTCTGTCTGTCTGTCTCTCTCTCACTCTGCCTCTCTGAGTCCCTCTCCTTCACACTTACTGATTTGCAGATTCTGCACGTCTCTTAGCAGGTGAGATAATATCGGGAAGCGCCGGTCCAGCAAAAATGTAATTGAATGTTCTCGAATATCTCATCCTGTAGATTACAGTGTGAGAAAAGGTAATTTCTAGGGAAAAGGTAATTTCTAGGGAAAAGACTTCCATGTTTTACTTTTTAATGCTCTAGAATGCTTGGTTTAGGAGTTATTTAACGATAGAGATTAAAAACTGCGGCCGAATGTTGCGGGTTACATTTGGCCTGAATAGTTTTGTTCTATAGCGTCATCTAGTGGAGTTACAACAACATCAACAGCACTTAAACCTTCTAGGTGAAAAACCAGTAGATGTGCCAACTTTCAAGGAAATAGGTCAAACGGCAGAATTAACCGCTCTTTATATATATATATACACCCCCCCCCACGACCACAAACATTCATGAAAATATGCAATTGCATCAACGTTTCAGATTTAATGGAGGGACCTGTGGTCTTAATCATCTGGCACTCTCAAAACATCTCCGAGTGCCATGGGAACGCACCAGCCGAGTGGCATGGGAGCAAACCTATGCTAGACAAACTTGGTACATTCACGGAAATAAGATTCATGTGTTTTAAACAATTTGCACATTTGAGGTTTGTTTCTTGTTGTTCGCTAATAATATGATATTTTGCACAGGGGCTACAACGCACTGAGAGACCACAATATTTTTCTATCTGTTCGAAGTCCTGGCAAGCACGGCAGTTTACTTGGTCGGGGCGGCGTTATCTTTCTTCAACAATGATGAATGCATTAAATAGTTCTGTGCGTTGGAGAACATTTTGTTTTTGAATAGTGTGGCACACACAAAGTTCATGGTTTCTGATCGGAAACTTTTCATCACATTTCTTTCAGAATGGATTGTTTGCACTTGGGTATCACGTTCGAAATTATTTTCTTACTCCTTGAAGAACGTTGGAACATTTCTGAGCACGCAGACATCATTAACAGACTTGGATATTTTCAATGATGATGGTATAAACTGTGTTTGGATAATTTTCCTCGAAATTTCTAGTCTCCTTTACTCATTTCAAGGACGACTGTATATTTGGAATAGATTTTTTATTTGACTTTCATTGTCCTTCAATTTTAAGCTTGAATATTTTATAAGAGAGATTCGAAAAACGGTATTTGCAAATTTTCGAAGATGTCGAGGTTTTAAAGAAAAGAGTACCTACATATATTTATATGGGTATTTAGGTATTTTTTTAGAAAAGAAAAAGAAAAGTTTGAAACTAGTTTAAAGATTTTTTATTGCCTTACGGATAGACTACCCACAAAAATTAAAATATACAGAGGTTCAATATTATGACTTGAAATTTCCTTCCCCATGCAATACATTTTTCTAAATTAGATCTTTAATTCTATTATATGAAAACACCCGTGAAAATCATTAACATTTTACTGGATGACAACTGACATTATTTTTAAATTTTGCAATTCCAGTGACTTGTATAAATTAATTTCCGTAAATTCTGTAAAATGTAAAATATTTAGACTGCTTGACACATTTAGTATTTGCAAACAGATTCTAATGCTTGCATGTGCTAACAACATAATTGTGGAGCATAAAGGAAAGCCGGGCAAAGTGCCTAAATGTAAAAATAATCATTTCGTACCGAACAGCAAGTATCAAGCGAAAAAAGATGTAAAAGGGACTATCTGATATTCTTTATATTTTGGATATAGCTTTTCTTAATTATCTCGGAATTTCACTTTTGGAACTTAGCACAATTTTCACTTACTGCCTACAATTGTTATAATGCAGGAACCAAGACCGGTGGTCACAGTGTGATACGACCCGGCAGCATTTCGAATTTCATATTGTTGCTCTACTTAAAAAATGTTAACGACTATTTTTAAGCCTTAACAGAGAGGAAGCGAAAAAACAAAATTAATTTATTGTAATGTTGAAAACCCTATTTCCCTTACAGGTCTAAATATTTAAAAGCAATAAAAAGTATTTTAGATATTAAATTCTAAATTATTACTCTTTTCAAAATATTACATGCATTGCGTAATTATGAGTTGTATTGCTTGAATTTTTAGACGAATTTTGAAGTGTTAATAAGTGAAATACAAGGATCAAAATTATAATATTAGATAACCGTTGAAAATTATACGCGAAAGTATATCAGTAAGTATTTAGCGGTCTAGTATTATTCAATTGAACCAAATTACGCTTTTTAAAAACTTGCTCGTGTATCAATTAATTCACTAACAACCCGAAACGTCTACTTCAAAAATGAAATATACTTTAGAGTGTACAATTACAAATTATTCACAATGGGAATTGGTGTCATTAAACAATGCATTATATACAGTTAAAAGTTACTGTTTTTCACTGCCAATGGTCAAGAAATTTTCTTTTGCCTTTTAGATGTAAAGCGAATTGCACGATTGGAGTTTCGACCATCGGAACTCATTGCAGTTCATAACCTCTTTTTTTATTTTATTTTTTTAAATAATAATTTAGGTCGGTTCGATATACGCTAGTTGACAATACGACCAGTGATTTGAAACAAACTGACTTTTAGAAAAAACAGCTTTCACTAATCTTGGCAAGTCCAATATATCACATTCTCTCTATTTCTGGTAAATAAATACAGTTCCCATTGGCTGGAATATTTTACATATGCATACTGATTATTATTTTCCACACACGATTTTCTGCAGATGAAATATAAAATTTATATTTGTAGTTACACTATCCCTTATTTTTTATAAAAAGAACTATAGATACAATATGATCAATATAATAATTTTTACCTGTTAATGTGATAAAAATGTTTTAGTCTATAATTTTTGGACCCTTGTGTGCATGTGATCTGAGAAAACAAATCGGCAAAACCAATCTACAGATATGCCACTTCTCTGTAGAACAATACTGTTTATAGAGATGAACTCTTCCTTGTTTCGGTTGGTTTGTGTCGTTTAGTCGCGCGGCTGCACCTCCACCCAAAAGGGCGGGATGGACTCGATGATGCCCGGGCGGTGGCCGTCCATGGGCGGCGGCTTCTGCCCGTCGGGCATCCGGAAGCGGAAGTTCTGCATCAGCCCCGCGAAGAACAGGAACAGGTAGTGGCGCGCGAACGTCTCGCCCGCGCACAGCCGCTTACCTGCGACAGGAGGAACAGCGCTCAGTCAGCGATTCAGTCAACACGGCAGGCAGGGGGAACAGCGGTCAGTCAGCGATTCAGTCAACAAGGCAGGCAGGGAGAACAGCGGTCAGTCACCGATTCAGTCAACACGGCAGGCAGGAGGAACAGCATTCATTCAACAAGGCAGATAGGAGGAGTAGCAGTCAGCCAGAGATTCAGTCAACACGGCAGGCAGGAGGAACAGCGGTCAGTCAGCGATTCAGTCAACAAGGCAGGCAGGAGGAACAGCAGTCAGTCAGCGATTCAATCAAGGTAGACAAGATAACATCATTCGCTCAGCGATTAAATCAACAAGACAGACAGGAGGAACAGCTTTCAGTCAGCGATTCAATCAAGTCAGGTAGGAGGAACAGCGGGCAGTCAGCTATTTAATCATCAAGGCAGGCAGGAAGAACAGCAGGCAGTCAGCGATTCAATCAATAATGCAGGAAGGAGGAACAGCTTTCTGCGAATTGATCTACATGGGAGGCATGAGGAACAGCAGTCAGTCAGCGATTCAAGCAACAAGGCAGTCAGCAGAAATAGCATTCAGTCACCAAGACACACAGGAGGAAAATTATTCTCAAGCGATCTCAACAAGGCGCACATTCATTCAGCAATGTTAGTCAGGGAGACAGAAAGAACAACATTCAGTCAGCTATGTTAGGAAGAAAAACAGAGGTACAGGAGTCAATCAGTGATCTTAGAACGGCAGCCAGGAGGTACGCATTCATTCAATGGTGTTATGAAAGCAAACAAGGGGAGCAGCGATCACAGCAAGGAGACAGAAGGTCTTGCTTGTGGCAGAAAGATACTATTCAGCCTTCTTATGCTTTGTTAAAATATGCATATACTTGTTGACGACGAAAGTATCAACACGCAGCCAGCAATGTCAGTAAGGCAGACAATAAAAGTAGTCATTCAGTCAGTGATGATATCAAGGCAGATAGGAAAAGTAGTCATTCAGTCAGTGATGATATCAAGGCAGATAGGAAAAGTAGCATTCAGTCAGCGATGATATCAAGGCAGATAGGAAAAGTAGCATTCAGTCAGCTATCACAAGGCAGACAGGATGTAGGGGATTCAGCCAGCTGTGTAGCAGCAAGGTGAGGCAGAGAGAAAGTTTATGCTTCTGTCGGTAATGTTATCATGGCAGGCAGGAGGTACAGAATTCAGTCAGCAACGTGAGCCAGACCGAAAGGAGGACTCAGCCAGCGATGTTAGCGAGCTGACAGGAGCAACAATTTCAGTCTGCAGTTCAGTCTTTCAGTCTTCAATCTGCAATATTATCAAGGCATTGAGAAGCCTTGCATAGCAGATTAGCTTGGTTCAAGAGAAACAACTTTCAAGCAACTCCATTTGCAAGAAGATACATCGTTCATCGTTTTCTTGCAAACAGTATAAAATAATTTATATTTAGAAGTAAAACACTTCCATATTACAAATTATATATTACTTTAGCTGCATTTCTCGACCGTTATTTTGGAATTTAAGCAGCATCACGCAAAGGGGTTTAATATTGGATTGTACGAATTTTATATTGATATTTATTTTGTGTGAAGAAATTACATATTTACATCGAAAAATGCACAAAGAAAATCACAAAAACGTGGTTTCACCGATAACACTCATTGCTTGTGATACTCTGTTTCTGTTTTTTCTGCCCCCCCAGACACTCCGTTATGGGGTACAACATATGGTTGAAAACTAACGTTGTGAGAAATTATGAACCACTAATACTCAATATTTCAATGAAGAGGTTGAGTTTATTCTCCGCATTTCTAATGTGTTTGTATGCCATATCGTGTGAATCAAAACTGGCATATACTTACATATACCCCAAAATAGCACTGAAAGCGATTGTTTAAAATAAGCATATACACCATTTAATGTTCTTCATTCTAGTGAACAATGTCATCAGAGTTGGTTGATGGGTAAACATTTCCTCACATTCATTGGCGACCAGTGCGTGGCGAATTAGGTGTGTGTCATGTCCAAACTATCACATAACAATTACCCCTTCAAAATGCTTCTTGACTCGAGGAAAACTATGGTAAAACTATGGCACTACAGATTTGGTCGTATAAGGATTTTAGTCCTGGTCTAAGACAACTTGTACGTTGATAACGGAAGACACAATTGTGCTCACGCGAGAATAAGAGATTTAAAGTATATTTCCAGCAAGCAAAACAGTACTATATGAAAGCAAAGAAGGGTCGGTATGCATGGCTTAGGTAATAGCCGCGGACTTACCCGAACAAAACCCTAAAGCAGCACGCTGTCCTACCTGACTCCAATATCCCCTCTCTTCCAAAAGCTTCCATTCCCTTGCATGCACCAGCTACGGAGCAACTCTCGATAGGCCATTATGCGACCAATTCCAAAAACATTAATCTTTGCTTAAGCGGACATATAAAACTAAATTCGTTCTCAAAATTGTGCTGATGGTATGCACAAATTAAACAAGTCGATTGGTTGTTTAACACTTTCTGCAACTTTTCTCGAGGAGGATTCTTTTGACGAGGCTTTTAAGACGAAAGCTCTTAAAGATCAGCCGCCACTGCTCACATCATATTTAATATAATTAATATTGTGAGAACAGCGAAAATGATGGGAAACAATGCGAAAACTTGCCGCATCGCTTGGCCTCGGACAAGGAGCGGCGAGGATCCGCTACTCTTGCACAATGGCGGTCTTGTCAAAGGTCGATGACACTATTTGTTAATATTTGTGCCCTCACTTGCTCTTGAGTAACACTTAGGGGAATTGAACCAAGGTGAACGTCTTCAATCTCCCGGATTTCGGCTAAGCAATATGAGTTTATACTCTGTGCGTTCAATTAACGGGTCAGTGATTCAACGGATAACCTCGCAATTGCGTAGAATGAGTTATTAGATAGAAGAGCCGCCTATTACGCATAATATTTATCTAGAAACGTCTAGAGTGCGCTGAATATGCAAACTAGTCCTAATTTTCATCAGAATCTTCTAACTTCATTATTGAACGTGTCATGCAATAGTGTTGAAGGGAAAGTAAGCCATGCACCATCTATTAAAGTTTTAGTTGTCAATACTATTAAAAATAAATAATATAATTTCCACATTACATAAATATTTATTTTCGCTTGTTTCTTTAATTTATCTGCAGATTAATTTATAAGAATATGAAATATTTTTTATGCTTGTACCTGTTTGGAAAAATCAACGGCAAACTACCCGTGGGAGAATTTGCCTAACAACAAAACAGGGACTTTGGATTGACATACAATACTGCAGACGACAAAATATTTACAGGCACATACTGCGCCTGCCTGATGCTCTCTAAATGTCAATGAGTGACCTTCCCGCGTCTTAGGGTAGCGTGAGGTGCTTCTTCAGAAACTGGCTTTGCTCGTCCTGTAAGATCTCAGAAGTTCTACATCCACAAGAACTTTTATAGCAATCTGATAAGAACTTAACTTTTTCAACAGCTGGATCTTCTCGCCCAACAAGCATTTAGAACTGCAAAAGTGGCTAGAGAATGCGTATATATTTAGAAAGACATGAGTAAATAGCATTAGGCATCGTTAGGGACTTCTTGTGAAGATATTCGGGCTAAGCCGGAAGTTTATCGGAACTTCGTCAGCCCCAAAAGTAATACGTCTGATGCTCTATGAATGCTCTATGTCTGATGCTCTATGCAGTAAAATGTCTGATGCTTACGACTGTCAATGAGAGTCATACCTGCGCCAAAAGAAAGCGTAGGGGCCTTCTTGAGCAGCTAATCCTCTGGACCTAGACGTTCTCCAGACACGAGATTATTCTCACAGACCTGATCGTCAAAGAGCGCTAGACCTTCTCAGAAAGACATTGTGCGACCCTTCTTGAACACTCGGCCCAGGAATTTCTCTGAAGTTCTACAACTAATGTATTATTATCATACCCCTGCTGGTGGCTAGACCTTCTCAGAAGGACATTGTGCGACCCTTCTTGAACACTTGGCCCAGGAATTTCTCTGAAGTACTACAACTAATGTATTATTATCATACCCCTGCTGGTGGCTAGACCTTCTCATAAGGACATTGTGCGACCCTTCTTGAACACTCGGCCCAGGAAATTCTCTGAAGTTCTACAACTAATGTATTATTATCATACCCCTGAGGGCGTGTGGATGTCTAAGGTCATTGGTCCCATAAGTGTAGAGTATATTTTTGTTCGGGAGTTGGCTATCATCTTGCGCCACTGGATGGCGAGATCCGGCGCCGACCTACCGTCGGCTAGCGGGGTTTTCCCCAACCACTCATCTTCCACCAGCGAGGCACCACCCCAGCCGGGACAAGCTCTAAGCTCCCGACATGGCAGGTAGTGTAGTGAATGTAAATGTATGTGTAATGCGAGAGGATTGAAGAAGGATGAGGAAGGAAAATCGCGCACGGTCCGTGGCCCTTTGGTAGGGTACTGCTCCGGCATTCGCATTGGTGTTGATTGCAGAAACCACGGAAAACTACCGATCAGAGCTATCTTCCAGGCCATTCAGTATCATACCGATCAGGGCAGCCGTCCGGTAGAATTCCCCCCCCCCCCAGTCATTGAGCGAACACGGCCTAGCTATTTAGCCAGTGTCGAAAATACTCCCACCGTCGGGACTCGAAGCCCAGAACCTCCCGGTCCGATGCACTTGCATTCGCCCTGGGCATCCGTTGATGCCCAAATCACCTCTTCCGGCCTGATTCTTGACGAGTGCCCTACCTGCACCGAAGGGCAGCGTGGGGTCTTTCTTGAGCAGCTGACCTTGGTCGTCCAGGAAGCGCTCGGGCCGGAAGGCCTCCGGGTCGCCCCAGAACTCCTTGTCCATGTGCATGCTCCACAGGCACGTGATGACCATCGAGTCCTAAGGAGAAATATATACCTTTTTTCCATATAAATGTTTCTATAGTATAATAAACGGAACGAAAAGTAGTAAATGCGAGTTAAAACGGAGAAAAATGAACTGGAACAATGTATTGTATTATAATGTATACAATGCACGATTTGAGAACTGCGAAGTTGCGACTAAAAACACAGTGTAACTGAGACTGAAATTCGTTGAAATCGGAAGGCAATGCAAGCTCACCTTGGGCAGGTCGTAGCCCATGAAGTTGGTGTCTTCGGTGGCGCGGTGTGGGACGCTGATGGGGGCAAGCGTGGCTCGTCGCATTGTTTCCCTCAACGTGGCCTCTGTGTACGGCAGCCTGCAGCATTCATGTGGGAAATGTTTCGTCACTGTCGGGTTTGTGAAAGGCTGGTACTACAACTTTTAAATCGACATTTATTTCTATTAAAATATTTCTGAGAATATTAATTCTTGTAAAAAGGTTTTAAATATTACTTGACAGCTGGGGTTGGGGTAGAGCGATGTTGCCACTTACTCGGGTGGCAGACACGTGGTCGTTGTTGCATCAGATCACAACGGTCGCAACAAACAAATCGCAATAAGAGCATTCAACAGTAGATACGCACACATGTTGCATAACCCAAAAAGTAATGGTGCTCTTCAATTTACAGTTGCTTCGCGGAGTAACACAAAATAATAATAAATAAAAATGAACCGAGCGAAGTGGCACAGAGCGTAGCGCGCTGTTTTCATAACAATTTCATTCAATATTCAATATCAACAATCGGAAGGTCAGGGTTCGATCCCCTGGCCGGTCATCCTGACCGTGGTTTCGTGGTTTCCTTCGCTCACAAGGCCAATACTGGGATGGTTCGAAAATCCCATATATACCTCCTACTACCCCACCTAACACCTATCATCAACCTAGTCATTTTCCCCATCATCATCACCATGTATTAATAATACTAACCAAAAAATTGTCATAATGAAATAATCAAAATAAATAATAATAATAAATAATAACAATAATATTAATAATAATAATATTAATAATAATAAATCATCCTATCCACCCCTCATTGATATCCTAGGCTAACAACGTTGAATCAACATAATTCCACACATTGATCTCTGCAGGATATAATACAACTGGGTATCGGAGAGTGAAATGTGTTGTGTGGTCAGTAGTGGCCCATACGCTGCTGCTGCTGCTGCTGCTAATAACAACAATAACACTAATAATTTTAACCATAATAATAATACTAATAATTTTAACCATACTACTCCTACTGCTACTGCTACTGCTACTACTACTACAACTACAACTACAACAACAACAACAACTACAACAACAACAACAACTACAACAAAAACAACTACAACAACAACAACTACAACAAAAACAAATACAAAAACAACAACTACAACAACAACTACAACAACAACAACTACAACAACAACTACAACAACAACTACAACTACTACTACTACTACTACTACTACTACTACTACTACTACTACTACTAATAATAATAATAATAATAATAATAATAATAATAATAATAATAATAATAATAATAATAATAATAATAATAGTAACTGACGCGGCGCGGTCGTCGAGGTGAGGCAGGCGCGAGCGGCCGACCACGTGGTCCAGCTCCTGGCGCACGCGCGCAGCCGCCTCTGGCTGGTGCAGCATGAAGACGAGGGCGAACACGAGCGTGGAGGAGACGGCGCTGGCCGCCGGGATGAAGAAGTCCATGGCCGACAGCAGGAACTGCTCCTCTGCAACGCACGCCGCACCCGTCACCAACCCTCACCCACGCCTTCTCAACGGACGATCAACGAGCAATTGGCAATTTTAATGACATTTTTTCACAAACTATTATGGTGAAGGCTTACATTTTTATAAGAGTTTCACAAGTTTGTTACCAACATCCATACACACAGACTTATTCAAATCTAATAGAAGAAAAAAAGTTTTCAAAAATGATTTTAACACATGCATATGATTTTAATTTTCAACAAATCAATTTACTAATAAATAAGGTACGTATTGCAAATTTATATTGTAAAAATCGTCTCAAGCGTAGATTGAATGTTCTCTATTTTAAATAATTTCATAACGCACGTTTTATGAAAACGTGCACTAGACTCTACCAATTTAAAACTGGGTGAGATAGGAATTTCCTTTATTCTGATTCACGTTTTGTATCGTTATTTGAAAATCTACAATTTCCGCAGCTTGCTGCCTACAATTCATAAATCATTGTATTCGTTAACTTCTTCCGAATTAATATAATTTTGTAACGCACTTCTTATGTTCCATGTCGAAATATCCGCTATTTTGAATTTTGGAAGAACAAAGAGAAATAAAAAACTCAACCGGAATTCCATAACTTAATTTCGAAATTTCATTCAAATTTTATTTCATTTTGTTTTGGCAGCTAACAATTTGTTTTTGCACAATGTGAGATATAACTACTACTAAAAAAATTAGATTCGTACTAGCACATATGTCCATATCCCTGAGTTAAGACATGGTTGAAACAGTTTGTTACAATTCTATCTGCGTTCCTTCCAGGTTCCCATACTTATAATTTTATTGTAACACTTTGAAGTAAAAACAATTTATACAAAAGCATTATGTTTGTCTACTTACACTGCATATTTAAAAAAAATAGTATATTTTCACCTTTAAGAGCTTAATTTATGCAGCTGAAAATGTAAATTTTCTAACCTATATACCGAAGGTCTACTGAAAAATGCAGTAGGGTATACTTATTACGTGGTCCATTTCATCCCAATGGCAAGCTCGTTCAACTTCCCTTTACTGAAAAAATGGGTCTATGATCGTGAGACCCTTCATGTCTCAGGCTTCTTCTAATGATTCATTCCCAGGGCTTGCACGTGGGTAGGTTTTCATCTTGTTTATTTGTAATAAGACGTTTTTTACTATCACTCACTACCGTGTGAGAAAGAAAGTCAGGTTTAGCAGAGAAAAAACATTTTTTTTTCCCATTTAATTAGGAATTTAAAACTGTCCCATTCTTTGCCCTAATTACGGGATTTGGACTTCATTTGATTTTAAGCGTATAATTTCATAACTAATAGTCGGATTGACGTCTGCTTTGCACCATAAAATTTCTCGTCGAGAGATGTACTTATATACGTGAATTCAGACACATACTACGCATATAAGGTTTTTCCCCAATTTTTGCCCATATTTCAAAATTAAAACCTTGAAAACAATAAATCCAAAATCTCAAAATTAGGGCAAAAATTAGAAAAAACGTAATTTCGTAGTCTCTATCTAAAATGGCGTATATAAATACAACTCTCGATGAGAAATTCAATGGTGCAAACCAAACGTCACTCACACCATTAGTTTCGAAATTAAAAGCTTGATAACATATGAAGCCCAAAACACGAAATTTGGCCAAAAAATGAAAAAAACTCAATTTCGTAGAATCGATCTGAAATCACGTATACAACTCGCGACGAGAAATTCAATGGTGCAAAAAAGACTTCAATCCCACTATTAGTTTCGGAATTAACCGCTAGTAAACAAAAGAAGCCCAAAACGCGAAATTTGGGCAAAAAATGGAA